AATCAACTCTCTCCTAATCAACGAAATCGGTTGCCAATTTATAAAATAATAATTTGCTTATACCAAAGGAAAAATAACAAATATCATTTTTCTTATTGAATTTAGTTTCATTCAATACAAGAAATTTTTTCTTGTAAATCAGTTTATAATTTCATTATATTATATTATAAAATTATATAATAATTATTGTCAAAGTTATTGTAGAGTATCATTAAATTTAACATAGCTACTATGAACAGTGATATTTAATATATAATTCTTCATATATATACATGTATGTTATGCCTGCACATGTGCACACGCAATACTTTTCATGTATCTATTTATTTTATATTTATATAGAATGTTTGTATGATTTAGAAAATTAGTGTATACTTAACACACATGCGCGCGCGTATATGTACACTTCCATCAAAATGGCACAGTTACATATTTTCTTTTGTCTTTTACTATTACATCTATGGAAAGAAGTGAATAAAAATTATAAACTAATTGCTATCACAGATTATATAAGGAATGTACAATCTGCTGAAATATTTGTTTTTCATTAAACAATATTTATGAGCAACATTTGCTTTTATATGATAAACTATCAAGAAATATCGTGAAAAGAATACAAGTTAATAATATCTTATCATTAGGTACATAATTTACATTATACGCACGAAATTTTATCAAATTTGTCATCATACTAAGTTTCGTTTCTTGCAAGGCGAAAATATAATAACATAATTTTTAATGTATTCGTTACGAAGTACGTTATGAAAAAAATAAAATAGAAATAATTTATCTATATAGTTATTGTTCATAAAAGACATGACCAACGTTTTGCTTTTTCTATATGATAATATTTATTAAGTTATAGTGCAAAAATGCAAGTCAATGAATATATTTTATATTTTCATATCAATTTACAAAACATATTACTTCTTGAAATTTTCCGTATAATTGTGCACCAACACAACAAAAGAAACATTATTGAACACTCCAGAATAAGTATATCTGATTATATAAACTGAAAAACAAGGTCGTTAAAATGATATATAAACAGAGCAGTGTCACTTGCGTGTAGTGTAATATTGAGATAATATAAATTCATATTGCCATATAAGCAATATGTTCCATATCTTCCATTTAATAAAACACAAGGTATTTATAAGTCTTTGTTTTAGTTTATATAAAATTTACTAATTTTTCAATAAGTTATTTTCAGTTACATAGCATAAGTATTAATTGCATAAGATCAGCAACATTAACATGTAATTCATCATCTGTAACACAACTACCAGATTATGCTGATATTGTAATAATAGGTAAAGAGCCAAATCTTTCTTTAGGTATTTTATAGATTAATGTATAAAATAATTTGTATATCATTATATCACTTTTAGGTGGAGGTAGTGCAGGTTGTAATGCTCTTTATCATTTAGGAAAATATGGTATTAATGCTGTACTATTAGATAAATCAAAATTAATGTCTGGTACTACATGGCATACTGCTGGTCTTATATGGAGTATACGTGGTCCATATGACACTGAGATGGAATTATTAAATACTACAAGACGCATTCTTAACTCTTTGGAAAAGGAAACTGGGATAAATCCAGGATGGATAAATAACGGTGGTCTTTTAGTTGCACGTTCCAATGTGAATATTCATTGTAACACTTTTCTTTTTTTTCCATTTTTTATATAATTGTTATTGTTATTATTCTTAGTTTTAACATTATCATCATTATTATTCACACTAGTATTTAATACTTAGCATTACTTACTTATTACAGGAACGATTAAATGAATATAGAAGACTAGTTACTGGTGCTAAAGCTTTTGGCATACAAGCACATATAATTTCCTCCCAAGAAGCAAAGGAATTATTTCCTTTATTAAATGAAAATAATATTCAAGGAGCAATTTACTCTTCACAAGATGGTGTTATTGATCCAACCATGCTAATAAATGCTTTGACAAAATCAGCAAAGAATAATGGTTGCCAGGTAACAAATTAATTTTTTAAATTGATTTTTTCATAAATACAGATGATAATCACTAAAAATAAAAGCAAAAGAAGATGAAATTATTAAAATTATTCAGATTATTGAAAATTGTCCTGTTATGAAGATACTCACAAAGGAAACCATTAAGAATAATAAAAAGGTTTATGGTGTAGAAACGCCATATGGAATTATAAAAACAGATATCGTTCTCAATGCTGCTGGGGCTTGGTCAAAAAATATAGCAAACATGATTAATGTGAATATTCCTTTAATGCCAATTAAACATGCTTATATTGTTACACAACCCATAGAAGGATTACAAAATCTTCCAAATATTAAAGATCCCGATACGAGTTTGTATTTTCGAATTCAGGGTAGTTCATTGGTTATAGGCGTTTATGAACAAAATCCTATTGTACTACCATCTGTGAGTCAATATTGATTCATCTTTAATATACAATTGCTAAATACCTTGAACAAAATTTAAACAAAGAAACAATTTTACCAATTTACTTTATTTAAATAAAAGGCCCCTGAACACTTTTCATTCGGTCTCTATGAATTGGATTGGGATATCTTCAATGTACATCTAAAATCAGTGATTGAATTGATTCCTAAATTATCAAAGACTGGAATAAAAACTACAATATGTGGGCCAGAAAGTTTCACTCCTGATCATAAACCAATTATGGGTATTTAGATAGATTTATATGTATATATTTTCAACATTTTTTACTTCTTATATTTGTAATTCTAATTTCAATTAAATTCAAAAGGTGAGGATCCCCATTGTTCTGGATTTTTTTACTCTTGTGGTTATAATAGTGCTGGGATGATGTTAGGAGGTGGATGTGGAGAACAAATTGCACGTTGGATAATTAATGGACGTCCAGATAAATACATGTTCAACTATGACATTAGGAGGTTTTATTTATTTCGATTTTATCATATTAATAGTATTTTCAATTTCATATTTATCTTATAGATTTTTACCAGAACAAAGAAATAATTTGGTTTGGATACATGAAAGATCTTATGAAGCCTATGCAAAGAATTACAGTATTATATTTCCACATGATGAACCATTAAGTGGAAGAAATCTTAAAACAGACCCTTTTCACAATGTAAGCTAAATAGCTTTATATAATAGAGTTTTCAATTTAATAAAATCAATGTTAAATAAACAAAAACAAGTCATTGTATAAATTATGTATTGCAGTTACTTGTTGAAGAAGGTGCTATTATGGAAGAATGCCAAGGCTGGGAACGTTCTGGATGGTATTTTCCAAATGAAAAAATAGAAATTATGCCATATGATTACAATGGATATTATGGCAGAGTAAAAAATCATAATGATAAATATCGTTCAATACTGGAAAAAGAATATAGTTTTCATTTTTTGCCATATAATGAAATAGTAAGTTAAGAATAAAATACGTAGTAAATACATAAATGTGTCAAAATAAAAACATAATGAAGACAAAAGTTATTAATACAGAATAATTTTTCACTAGATTCGAGAAGAAGTTCTTGCATGTCGCAAAAATGTTGCTTTATTCAACACATCTTATCTTGGAAAGTTCTATCTTTATGGACCTGATGTTCAAAAAGCGGCAGATTATTTATTTACGGCAAATACGAATTGCAATTTTAATAAAACTATTTATACCTGTATGTTGAATCATGCTGGAGGTGTAGAAGCAGATTGTACAGTTACAGTTTTAGAATCTAGCTTGGATAAGATTGTAAATCCAATGCTTAAAGAAAAGGTTTTTTATATTGGTATGTTTTTATGAATTTATTATTCTCCTTGACATAACATCACTATTAGGAATTATAAAATAACTACTTTTTTATTTTTACTATTAGTTTCAAATGGTATGTCAGCTTATCATACATTAACTCATATGAATAAAGTAATAAATGAAAGAGGATATAATGTCTTTTTACACGATGTTACTGAACAAATTGGTATTTTATCTGTACTAGGACCTAATAGGTATTGTATTATGACAACTTTTTATCTATATATACTTTTATTTAGAGATTAACATATCAATTTATAGCCAAAATATAATGGAAACATTAATAAAAAATGAAATCTCAGATAAGTCTTTCAAATATTCTACTACAAAATTGGTAAAAATTAAGAATGAAATGGTACATTTAATTAAACCTAGTTTTGTTGATGAACTTGGTTTTGAATTACATATTCCAAAATCATCTTGTCAGCTAGTTTATAAAACTTTAATAGAATGTGGTAAATTATATAATATGAAACATGCTGGATATCGTGCATTGTGTAGTCTCAGTTGTGAAAAAGGTATGTGACTAAATTTTATCATTTTATAAATGCATGTTATTAATATGGTTGTATTTCAGGCTATTTACTTTGGGGTTCAGATCTTAGAACAGATGATAATCCTATAGAAGCTGGACTTGGATTTACTTGTCGTAATACTGGTGAATACTTGGGAAAGAAAGTAGTTGATCGATTGCGAAAAAATGGAATCAAAAAGAAGTTAGTGCGTGTTTATTTAGACAGGCATGTATTATAAATTATTATTGATAATTTTTATATTAAACTTCATCAAAATAATACTGATATATATTATAATAGTACAATACCATTATGGGGTACAGAAGTAATTTATAGAAATAACTGTCTTGTCGGTTATTTACGTAGAGTTGAACAGGGATATAGCAATAGAAATATCACTGGACATGGGTAAGTAAAATAACATTAAATATAACATTATAGAATATTCTGTAATTATAGATTTATAATTATCATTACTTAATATCAGATACATCAAACATCCAAGTGAAGCAAATGTAACAAGAGAATTTCTAGAAAGTGGCAATTATGAAATTGAAGCTATGGGGAAACGTTATATTGTGAATCTTCACTTCTAATATTAATTTATTCCTATATACATAATTTCTAATTTATAAAAATAAATACAATTATCAACCTTCACAACATTTTAAAGAACTAAAGTGTTTTAATTCCTTTAACGTATTCATGTTTACCCTGCTAAAGGATTAGCATGTATAGTTATACTGTTTATTCTAGTCTCTGTAAGTGGTCTATAATTCTTAGGATTTACTGGTAATTTTTCTAGCTGTTCAAGGGTTTCTAGACCATCTATTATCCTACAAGTGAATAAAAATTCACAAAACATATTAAATACATTAGCTTCAAATATCAAGGTAAATGAGAATATAAACATACTTACTTTCCAAATAAAGTATATTTTAAATCTAAGTGCAATTGAGGCCCATATGTCATAAAAAATTGACTTCCATTTGTGTTTGGACCATTATTGGCCATAGAAACAAGTCCTCTTGCATTATGTTTTAATTCTTCTTTAAATTCATCTTCAAATTTACGATTCCATATTGATGTTCCACCTTTTCCAGTATGTGTAGGATCTCCAGTTTGCACAATAAAGCCTTTTATATTTCTATGAAATAGGCAATTGTCATAATAATCACTAGCACACAAAGCAAGAAAATTCTACAAAATAAATAATAATTTTATAATTCAGATATGGTACATATAGCCATTACTTATCAACTAAAAGGATGTAAAACATTCTACCTCACATGTTTTCGGACATAACTCACAAAATAATTCTATTTTTATGTCTCCGACGTCAGTATGTAGAGTCACACTCTATAAAAATTGGTTACCATTTATGAATATCAATTAATATAAAGCTTATGGTCTTAATGACATTTATAAAAATATCATACATACCATTTTCAACAAAATTATTCATTAATGTGCGAAAAATAAGATACGTTATTTATTATGTTATGCTTACTATACGTTAAAAAAAAAGTGAACACAGACACATATATAAAAGTAATGATGTCCATGTTGAATTTTATGGTATTACCAACGAAATCAAGTGTATGGATTTATTTCTAAATGAAATCGAACCTTTTTTAACACACTGATCTAAAATTAATTGTAAGGGGATAAAAAAATTGAAAAATATATATCTGTGAAATAACACAATATATTCGTATTATTTGTAAGTTTTACTGAGTATGATTTATAAGAGCTAAACAAATATTTGTAACCAATTTGACTTTGGTTCAAAACGGTAAGGAATCATCGTAGCAGCGCCACTTATTACTGCTGAATGTTCCGCTCATTTCTTGTTACAAGTAACGGTTAAGTAAAAAACGATATTGTATACCGTGGCATAGGTTTAACTTGTAAAAAGCGCATTTAACGTTATTTAAATTGAAAATAAAATTATTTTTTATGTAATAAGAGAGAAAAGAACTTGATTCTAAAAATTATCATAAAAGAGTGGCAAGAAAATCCAGACGAGTGGCGCGTCTGTGCAAACGGCTCCTCTTTGGTTACATGACGTAATTGTATTGATCGCGGAAGAAGAGCCGAAAGTCGCGCATTCGCCATCTTGGACGAATTGTAGAAAAGAAGTTTCTGTGTCTCGCAGGCGCGGTACGCTTGTAATAATTGTAATCCGTGACAATCCGGACATTAATTAATTTAATTGGGAATTAACCCTTTTGTGAATTAGAAACCCATTTGGAGCGGACCAAGGTAAGTCATTATTTCTTTGATTTACTTCTTTATCCGAATCTTTTTTTCTCCATGAAAACCTATCTGATTTTGTTGTCTGATTATTCAATTTTGGAGGCTTCCTTTTCATTTAATATTATTATTACGGTATTTTAACCTTTTATATGCAGTTAATTTTACTGTCTGTCTTTTGTTAAATTTCACGAATACTTTGACGTGAATCTTTTTGTTTTGAATTTTTATGATTTTGACATCGCAATTGTTGGGTTGGGTACACTCTTTATATTCCGACTGTTCCATATCCTTTTATCTATCGTTTTTTATGAATTTTATTTAATAATCTGTTATCTTGTTGATTATCCTTTATTTCTTTTTAATTTTACGTTCCTTGCATCCATTTCCTCGTCGTAACAAAGCTTTGCGAAACTCTTTTGTCCGCTTTCTACTTTTCGCATGGAACAACCTTTTTCTTATATATTGACTTCTATAAGCGTTATTATTCAATTTTTTTCTAATTATTCATTAATATTTTCTTTTTCTTAATATAATTGATGTAAAACAACATTGATATGGTAGTTACTTTTGTGTATAATTTAATAACTATTTAAAATAAATTTTTCTTTCTTTTTTCTTATTTCTGTTCCCTTTATTGTTCTTCATTTGTACTAATAATCATTAACTATTATTTTATTTAGTTGAACTTCTATTTTTATCCATTATATGATTGTATATTTCATGGATTATAAACATTATGATTAGAGATCAATGAAATTCAATTGTACTAGTATTTATATTTTAATATACATGGAAAATTGAAAAATATTAAGTTTTTGCTTTTTTATATCAGGTACTTTTATTATATGTTAATATTTGTGTCTAACTATATAAATAATATTAATTAAAGAACAATCTAAAATATGTTTATATAACTTTCAACTTTATTGTACTGAACTATATGTATATTTATTACAAAAAACAATATCACACTTATGATTTCAGACAACGGGTTCGTTCTTTGGGTCTGATTGGTACTAAATGGTTGCCTGCAGACAGCATGTCTACTCTGTCAGGGCTTGTGTCGAAGGGGGAGAAAGGAAAATCCAAGTTTCAATCATTAGACATCAATAGCTTGTACCGGGTGAGTAGGGTGAGTTGGCCAAACAGTTTTGTTCTTTTTTTTCCCTATTCTTCTAATTATACTTTTGTTTCTTTCCATTTATCCTTTTTCTTTTCCTATCTATATTCCTATTTGGACCCTTTTTCTTTAATACATTTATTTTGTTTAATCGTATAGTTTTTTATATTTTCATAATAATAATAATAATAATTGTATATATTTTTATTAAAGTTAATATTAAGATTGTTAAATAAAATAATAATTAATTGTTTAAAAGAAAGTGAAATTGGTATCCGATTTTTGTGCTTACAGGGAGAATCTTTAGAGCAACATCAGCAAAAAAACACATTACCACGCAAACATGGAATGCAAAGTCTTGGGAAAGTGCCTTCGGCACGGCGACCTCCTGCTAATCTGCCTAGTTTAAAAAGTGAACATAGTAGTAACGATCCAGCTGTCAGTTTAGTACCAAGTGGAGGAAGTGGCTGGGCTACTACCAAAGAGTCAACAACTACCATTACTGTTACAACCACTACAACTGTAACTGCACCAGATACATCTGTATGTTTTGTAAAAATGTACTTTGTAGTTTTTGTAAAAATATATTCTTTTTATTGTAATTATTTGCTCATTGTATATATGTAACACTTTGTATTTTTACTTCCTATATAAATTAGTATAATGTTCATATATCTATTAAGAATTGCTAGCACTAAATTATAAAATTGATTATTTTATTGTCAGGCAAATTCTTCAACAGCACAATGTGTAGCAGGGACTGTTGCAACAACATCATTACATCCATTACTCCCAGGACAACAAAATACCTCACAATCTTCATATTCTTCCGATGTGAACCACAAGTCATCATGGAGTGCAATAATGAGCAGATCTGGAGATGGTATGTAAAGTTGCTTCATAAACATAAAATTAATTTATATATAATTTACTTTCTCAGTTTTATTATATTCATTATAAGAATTATAAAATAGAAGTTAATTATATAAACTTACAAAAGCAATGTTTTTGATTCACTTTTTTCTTACATTTATATTTATATATATATATATATATATTTGCATTATATTAAACATTGTTTATGAAGTATTAACTTTAAATTAATTAATGTCTTAATAACTATTATGTTTGCCTCAAGTATGTTATAAAAACAATAAATGCTAAATATAATATAATGTATATTGTATTTATAATTATATATTTGTTATGAACTTTTAATTAGGAGATAATGTAATAATGAATCATAGTCTTGTGGTAATAATAATAATGTGGTTTGGTGTATTATTATTTAGGCACTGTATCAGGAGGCCAACAACAGCCTCAGCCGCAGCAGCAGCAGCAGCCGCAGCAGCAGCCGCAGCAGCAGCAGCAGCAGCAGCAGCAGCAGCAGCAGCAGCAACAGCAACAGCAACAGCAGCAGCCGCAGCAGCAGCAACAGCAGCAGCAGCAACAACAACAACAACAACAAACGATAAGTCGGGAATTAAATGCGCAATATGGACCTGGACCAAGTTTACGACCTCAAAGTACGGCTTAGGAAAAGTGTTCCATTACATTAAATGGGGGATAATTATTATGTTAAATGATTTATTTATTAAGTGAAATACAATTCTTATATTAGCGCAAGGAAGTTGGATACAAGGTGGAAGTCGTACAGCCAGTGGTACAGGAATAGGAACTACTGGTCCTGTAAGTGGGAATTCAGGTGTCCAGGCCCCCCCTTTGAATATCACTGGGTCCGGAGGACATACCGACATATCTGGTGGCGGGCGACAGAACTTGGTCCAGTCTCCCAATATGGGCATGGGCCAGGGAGGCCCTCATAGTTCTTCAAGCAGTCAAAATGCTTTAACTTCTAGTTCTCATCAAGTTGGTCCAAATTTACATCATTACAGGGGACTTATTCTTCCATTTGTATGTTCTATTTTATTGTTGAGCATATTTTTATATTTTATTGTTGAGTATATTATTGACATTGAATGAATCAACTTTTATAAATACATCCAGATGTACAGGGGGAACTTTTCTGGTGGATTTCCGTCTCAATTTCCAACAAATACAAATTCCGGTGGGCCTAGACCTCGGTTTAATTACTCTGCAGAGCGGCTCCCTCCACCACCTGTTCGTCAACAAGAACGTGAACGTGTTCCTGAGGAAGAAATTATTACACGACCAATTATTAAAGAAGAAGATCTTAGTCGAATGGACGATATTTCTCGTGATGCTGGCTGGGCAGCGCATGATGATATTGATTATAATCAAAAGCTTGCCTTCAGCGACGACGAACCTGATCTTGAATCTTCGAAAAAAGATGAAATAAAAGACAATAAAGAAGAAAAAACAGAGGAAAATTCGACAGATGATAAAGAAAAGACAAGAGATAACCGCGATATCCGTGATAACCGTGATAACTGCGATACTCAGGAAAACCGAGATTTGAAGGAATCTCGAGACCAAGCAACTCATCGTTCATGGACTCAAAGTTCTTTATCCCGTGATTATCGTGGTTCCAACGGGTCTGGTAGTTACAGCGGTCAGTCACAACTGCATTCGGTGCATTCTTTAAGAGGTCAGAACATTTACATGACTTAAGCGCTCATTATAGGATCAAATTCATTTTGGTTCATAGTAATAATTAATTGCATAAATTGTCTTATAAGTTTTGTTTGTTCATGATTTTCATTTTTATTTTGAAAACAGGCGTAGAAGATGACGAAGCGTGGAACGAGAGACGCAGACTAAAAGTTGTTGAAGTAGCATCTGTTGTTGAACGCGCTCGGCAACGGAAAGAAGAAGAAGAAAAGAGATATCAGGAATCAACTAGACAAGCGGCAGCTAAGAAATTGCAAGATTTAGAGCAAAAGTTAAAGGAGAAACAAGCTAATGAATCAAAAGGTTTAATAAGCGTTCCAGCAGTGCCAATTCCAGTTCCTGAGTGGGAACGAGAAAGGGAAAATAGAGAACGAGAAAATAGAGAACGAGAGCGACCTGAAGGAAAAGACGAAAAGTCATTGAATCGTGAATTACGTGAAACTAGAGACGGTCTAAAAGATGGTAGAGATCCGCGCGATCAATTGCTATCAGATTATCGACAAACTGATCGACAAAGTTTTACGAGACAAGATAGTATTCGTAACGAACGTGAAAGAGAACGAGATCGCGATCGTGACCAGAGGGATACGAGGGATCGTGAACTACATGCCTCATTCTTTCGATATTACAAAACTAATTTACCACCTCGATTTCAAAAACAACAAGCAGAAAAAATCAATGCTGGTCTTAGTCGAGTTTCTCCTAATACTGAAAGATCGTCTGCTCAACCCATTCCATTCTCTCAGCAGTACGACCCTGGTAGATGGGTTCATAGTCATAGCTCTTTAAGTAAGTATAATTTGGAAATAAAATAGTTATCCATATTCATTTATTAGTCCCACCGATGCTAAATTTTAACGATGTATGCATGCGCACATGTATGCCCACATATATTTTTACTATTTGTACGCACTTCTGCATGCATTGATATATGCATGTATATGTATAAATTTGTTTGCGTTAAGAAATTATATCGACTAATCATAAATGTTTGTTATACTAAAAGGATCGGAGAACGCATAATTAATATTTTCGTTTCGGGAAATTTAAAACAATATTTTCTGTTTTCTCATTTCTGTTACTTTCATCTGCATATTGTAACACTGCTACTATTATATTCAATAAAACTTGTACTAGTAGATAGCAACTTAAAAACATCATCACACGGAGCATCGCAACGCCGGAGTAGGACAGATTCTGACATTTCTACTTCAATGGACGATGACCGACCTCCATCCCGAGATTATCGTGGTTCTCTACTTCGGGATGATCGATATCGCCATTCTTCACATCGACCATATGACACACGCAAGTCAGGCGGTTACTACGATGAGTATACACGTAGCTGTAGAGATCATGACTACGACGATAGACATTCTCGTGATTCTTGGGAACGCGAAAGATATTTCGATGACAACAAGGATCGAGAAATAAAAGATGGTATAGAAAGCAGAGATGTCAGGGAAACTCGGGATATTCGTGATAATCGTACCAATAGGGACAACCGAGATGCGAGAGAAATTCGAGAAAGAGATAAGGATAAAAAGGATTACGATAATTATTTGAAGGTATATATTTTTTTTTTTATTCATTTTTATTGAACATTAATATCACAATGTTCACTTTAAATTTCCGGTTATTTACAATATTTCTTTATTTATGAATCTAACATTATTAATACAGTGATTATGTATATATGTTTTAAGTCTTATTTTAACCTGTTCGTCTATAGGATCCCTTTGATGATCGCAATCGTGATCGCGAGCGTGATCGTGATCGTGATCGTGATCGTGATCGTGATCGTGATCGTGAACGTGAACGTGAACGTGAACGTGAACGTGAGCGTGAGCGTGAACGAGAACGAGAACGAGAACGAGAACGAGAACGGGAACGGGAACGGGAACGAGAACGAGAACGAGAACGAGAACGTGAACGAGACCGCGATCAGAGAGAAAGATCGGAAAGTACGGAACGTGAACGTGAGCGTGAGCGTGAACGAGAACGAGAACGAGAACGAGAACGGGAACGGGAACGGGAACGGGAACGAGAACGAGAACGAGAACGTGAACGAGACCGCGATCAGAGAGAAAGATCGGAAAGTACGGAATGGCGCGAGGAACGTATCATTCAAGAGAGAATGATCGATAATCGTCGTGATTTACAAAGAGAAGAACGAATGGAGCGTAATGAACGTCCCCAAAGACCAGATTCTCGCGATAGTCGTACTTCTCGAGAATCAAAAACATCTTTACGTGACGATGATTCACACAAATTACGGGATTGTAGTTCGTGGGTAAATGAAGTTGCTGATTATGAAGAAAATAAACGTGATATGTATGAAGATATTCGAGAAAGAGAAAAAGAAAGAGAAAGGAGACAACCACTAGGACCTGTAACTAAAGAGAGAATTGAGGCGGATGAATTGAAAAACGAAAAACGTAACTTAACTCAATTGAAACGAGCAAGTTCTGATCAAGAAAAAAAAGATCAAACAAAAGAATCTACTATAGAATTGAAAAAAGAAACAGATGTTTGGAATAGGAAAGGTGAGCGAGTTAACGAAAATAATCGAGTTATGGAAAGAGGTGATAACTCTCCAAAAGCTTGGGCAGATGCTGTTTCTCCAACGTTTGAAAAAGAAGAAGAGAAAATTTTGGAACCTATTAAAAATGATAAAGACTTAGAGGATTTAAAGCAAAATTTCGATAAATTAAATTTAGATAAAAGGGAAGACACATTAAATGAAGATATAACATTAGAACAACAAGTAAAAGAAGATAAACGAGAGAAAAATATTCGGAATAGAACTAGTAGTGGTGGATCGAATTCGAGGGTGCGTGATTCTCGAGGCGGCCGTCAGTGGGGAAGTACCTATAGCGTATATGTTCGAGGTTGGCGTGGTCCAGAAACGAGAGGAAGAAGGGGTGGATCTAGAGCTGCTACTAGACCAGCTTCTGCCAGGAGTGGTTCGTATGGACATACTGATTCAGAAAATAGTGCTGATGAGGTGTCTGGTTCAACTGAATCTGGCAAAGAAGAAAAGAAAACGAGATCACCAAAACCTAGTCAAAGGACAGAAAAAGAAGAACGTAATCGTGAAGCAATGGTATCTACTCGAGATGAAAAACGTGCTGATTATTCTCAATCGCAACGCAACGAGAAAAGAACTTACGATAGTAAAGTAAGTCGCGAAGGTTTTGCTCCTTCAGGTGAACCATCTCGTCGTGGTCGAGGAGGCAGTTTTAGAATTCGAAGTACAACTGCTACAGGCAGTCGTTTGGAAGGATATGGACCTCCATCTAATAAGAGTCCTTTTTCCTCTGAACGTAATATTGATGAAAAACAAAATTCTATAAGACAAAATCCACCGACACCTACTTCAGAAAAGGAGGTAAATTCTTTGCTTTTATCACAGAATGAATCTACTGATGATAAAATGATAGCAAAACAACAAGCTCTTACTGCTGGAATAACTGGAAAACGTGCCAAATCTCCAAATCAACAGTCACAACAAACTCAACAATCTTGTAACAAACAAGATGTATGTCATACAAATAGTAACAGTACTCAAAAGGTACAAGTTCCAAGAAAAGAGGAATCGCGTTCAAAAAGAACTCGCAGTGGAAGTAGAAGGGTAAGTTTCTTTAGGTAATTTATAAGAAGTTTATGGTTTCTTTATCTTATGTATCTTTTCTTTCTTTTTTCGTTTTTTTTATTTTTAATGAATATTTGTACTACTTTTATATAGTATCATTTAACAGAATAATTAACGATTTACATTTGAATACGTTTTATGCTTACAGGGTAGAGATAGTCGTGAATTACGTTACCGTGGTAGTGGCAGTAATGTACCGAAGCAAACCTCTTCAGATGTGGGAAATGAAGATTGGGAAACCACATCTGAGAACAGTGAGGACCATGTAGAGGACCATAAAGAGCCACGTAATAGTCGTAATAAACAATTTTCTGCGCGTACAAGTTCGAGTAGTAACCAAAATGTTATAGCATCGAATGTACATTTACGAAGGAATGAACAGACAGGAAATAGCCGTGAACAACGTGAAAAAAATGTGAAGTCTTCCAGTATTGCGTCTCGAGCTCCTGGCGCAGAGAAACGTAACCTACAAAATTCCAATTTCTCAAATCAGAAAAGTCATTCCAGCAGCATTCCGCCGTTAATACAAACAGCTCAAATACAAAATGGAAGATCGAGGAATCAAACGTCTGGAAGTAATTCAATGACTTCAAATAAATCGATCACGAAGGATAATACGGTAAATCGTATAGATGAAATCAAGTTAAGCGATCCCAATTTAGTTAGTCAAGCTCTTAATGATATTAACAAAAGACCCCAAGGAAAAGAAAAAAAGACAATGATTGACTGTGAAATGGAAACAAATAATTGCACCGAAGAGTGTCCTAACATTGTTGAAGACAAAGTTGATTCGGATGGTTTCCAAGAAGTTCGTTCAAAGAAAAACGTAAAAGAGTCTAGACATGGCCAAAAAGAAGAGACGAAACCTCTGAAACGTGAAAAGGAAAAAGATAGAGAACGCGATCGTTCGAAATCAAAAGCAAACGGTGGGCCACAAACAACTTCTTTACAACAAGTGCAAAATATTCCACCTTTACTTGGTCAAACCATTCCACAACCTTCAAATATATTACAGAAACAATATGATAGAACATCAAGAAGTCAAAAGCTTGCACCTAGATTCCAAAAACAGCGCTTAGCAAAACAGCAACAACAACAACAACAAATTTCTGTATCTGAATCAAATGATACAAGTAAAATCAATATTTCATCAAATAACTTCAGTAAAGATCCATCAAGTGGTCCCGCACCTCCGCCATCTGTTAACGCTTGGGATAAACCGTTTACAACAAGTCAATTACAATCGAGTTCATCATCAGCTGTCACTACTGATATTCAGTTGGTGTCTGGTTTGTCCACACAGACTGATCATGGTCACCTTCATAGTCATGAAGTTAATGAGCAGACAAATTCTGGCAATAATAGCCAACGAAATTCACCAAATGGTGAGAAAAATGTTGGAAAAAGTTTGAAAGATCAACTCATAGAAAAAAACTCAGTCCCTGATGTTTCTTCACCACCTGTACAAACATTAATTTTTGAAAATACAAATTATTCGAAAACTACTAAGGCTGGTCCTTCTGATTTAGCAGTAAAAACTAAATTCCCAAACCACATGAAAACACAACAACAACGTGTTGAAAAACGTACGGATTTGGAAGAAGAAAGTAATACTGCTAATACTATGCAACAACAGCAACAGCAGCAGCAGCAGCAACAACAACAACAACAGCAGCAGCAGCAGCAACAACAGCAACAGCAAAGTCTGCCTGTGGCATTTTCTAACAAACCAAATGACTTAATGAAAGACAAAAATCAAGAGCCGATTCAGATGCCGCTTTCATTTAATAAAAATGAAGATAATGCAGATATGAAATTGGATTTCACATTCGATTCAGATCTTTCTCAGTTGACCGAAGATAAAAACAAAAGCTTAGGAATAACTCGATCTATGCATATGGCTACTGGTCAAAGTACTATTTCGCCTTCTACAGCAGAGCTTAACTTAAAAATTGCTTCGGTAAAAAAGGTATGGGAAAATGCGCCTCCTATGCCAACTGTAGTCGAACATGAGGATGGTAATGTCGTCAGTACTGCTAATACTTTCCCTCAAGCGTTTGAAAGTACGGATGTTGATGATAGTTACAGCCCTCATCAACAGTATAATCAAAATAACATGAAAAATGAAATAACTACTTCTACGAACGTATGCAAGGTAAGAAATCATTTCGCGAACATTATATCATGTTATCATGCATGCATATCTAAACTATTACATCACTAGAAATTGATTCGATATTCAGCATAAATTCAAATAAAATGCATTCCTTCCAGTTTATTTATTCTGTTGTTTCCTCCAGTTTTAACGTTATCTGTTCGTATCTAAAAATATCTTTAAATACTTATCATGGTGAAAATCAGAAAGGTAAGTGGCTAACGCGCATTGTTTTAATTTTTGTTTCATCTAATAGAAAGCTATCTTTTGTTCTTCGTTTTTTCTTTTCTTTTTTTTTCCTTATTATTTAATTTATTTATTTTCCTTTTTCTTTTTCTTTTTATAAAATTCTTCTAAGAATAAACATTAGTTAATACTCATTTTACATATTGATTACCCTTGTTACCATTTTATTATTAAGATGTTATTGTAATCATCTTTATCATTTTTATCCTATTATTTCTCTCCTAAATTATCTATTACCTATATTATCATCGCCTTTGTTTATTTATTGCTTTTATATGATCTCATCATATTTCTTCACAGAAATGTTTCTTTATTATCGATTCTCTTTCCTTGATTAAAATTACGCGGTTAGCGATAAACCTAACTATTTTCACCAAAATTGAGAAGACAATTTAACAAAAAAGAAAAGAAAATCATTTCCCCAAATTCATATTGTTCCGTCAGCATCAATTGGACGGCAGTTGATAGTGATGTAAATAGAAAACTAAAATAACGAAACACCATGTCCCCTGTGGGAAGATGCTGACTCTTTGCCTGATGCGCAGCTGGTTCCCCCGCAGGTGAAGCCGCAGCAACAGTCTTCGGGAAGTAGCAGTAGCCAGTCTGGTTCGACCGTTCCTGGACCAAGCCCTATTGGAGCAGGTCAAAGTCCTATCGGACATCCTCCCGTTAGCCTTCAAGGACCATTGAGCCCGCCTCCGTTCAACTCCACGGGACAACCCTCTCATATTAATTACCAGGTGATCAGTTACTTTGAAAAAATTTATAGCTTTGTGTTTTGCATTTTACTTGATTCCATGATATAGGGTAATTTTCTTGCTAGTAGACTCAAAGGCAGTACCACCCAAGCAGAAAACTTTAGCACTTGAAATTTTACAGCTTACGTATATATGCACATAAATGTAGTCATTGCATACATTTGTCAGATTATCGTGTAAGGACTCTGCTGTTTTGTTTGAACGGCGATACTGCTGTTGAGTCCATTAACGAGCAAATCACTCTGTATTTAATGTATATTCTGTTTTATTTTGAGCCTTTTTTTCTTTTTCCTTAGGAGTTTCCTCAGTATCCAGGCTCTCAAGCTGCACAATATGGTAGCATGTCTGCCATACCTTCTCCGCCAGCCGTATTGTTCAATACTGGTTCTGGTCAACTTCCAGCTCAAGCAGGAGGTCTTTACGGAGCATTTCAATTAGATCAAAGTCGATCTCCTTTTACACAGTACCCACCGTATGCGCCATCTTTGCAAAATTCATTTAGTCAGCAGAACGTTTACTTACAACAACCTCCGCCTCCGCCACCACATGCGCCGAATGCACCCACTCCGGATATGTATCAAAGCAATCTTTCACAATATCGCATCGTAAGTAAACATTCTGTATAACGTACCTTGTTTTACATTCAAAGAAATTGTTTCAAGAATTACAAGTTAAACACAAGATATTGTTCTATATCATATTGCATTGTTCGGCGAATAAACTACAAGAAACAGAAGAAACTAATTGTATGCAGTTGGTAAGTTGACAGTTCAGGACAATACAGAGGCAAGCAGGATACTTTGTTTGCATCACTTAATTCCACCTTTGATACTCTTGAAATTCATATATTTATATTTCATACTTAGCACTATTCTTATCTTATGTTAAATAGTTCATACTGATCCAGTATTTACTTCAATATTTTATCACTTTATTCCATTCAGATTCAATGTATCCTCTGTTTATTCCCTTCATCATACAACTCAATATGATTTTATTTGAAAATGTGACACTTTCAACTAGTAATAAAAATGTATATGATCTATCTTCATGATAGTATTACAGAAGATGGACATATTACGCTATAACCAGTTAAACTCATATTACTACTTGCTGACCGCGTACAGAACCTTATTCTACTTTAAATTTTGTCAAATTTTCAATCTACATTTGATTCTGAAGAAGAATCTAAAATTTTAACGAAATTTTGAAAAGTAAAATAATATATGGTCAAAGAACAGTTGTTGATACTCAATTATAGTCCTATAATATTCATTCGAGTAATTATATCCTAATTATTACATTAGGATATTCTCCATTTGAAAAAATTGGTGATATACTGTCAAAAATGTTATTAAATCAAGTCTAAAAAGTAAATCAAGTATTATGCACAAATCGTACTTTGTTTTTCACTTATTTCTGTTCTTGAAATCCGTATAAATAATGTTTATACCAGTAACGAAATGGAACAGATCTATAATACGAAAATACTATATCGAATACCGCGTATGTATAGTAGGCACGAGCAATGTAGCATGCTCGTAAATTGCTGGCTTCGATTGATGCCGACATTATCCCGTTGAAATCGTTGACACTCAAGACCCTTTGCAGTTTCTAACTATAGGTACTTCAGTCATTCACAAACCAAAATAATTAACATTTTTTTTTTTTAAATTTAGCATCAAAGAATTTTATTCATGCCTAATTTTTTATATTTAAAATAAATTTCTGTTTTTTGTTTTGTAAAGTTGATTTAGTAAATTTAACACTGAGCATTCAAATAGAAAAAATTACCAGTTAACTCTAAATTTCAACATAGTTCATTGACTGTCATTCATTATCAATTTCCTATTACTAAATTTTGTTTAATATTTTGAACATTTTAAAGAAATTTAATCTTTCATAAAACATTATCAGAAATATACAGCTATGTAAGAATTCATTCTAAATTAATATTATGCTATACTGATTGGCTTTCAAGCGCCTCATTTTTTCCAAATGTCTCATATTAGTGTTACAAAAGTCAAAACACTTGTATTTATAAACTTAATTAATTTTACCACCATACTCTATTGTTCGTGTTTGTTATACATATACGTATAATATAATACAAAAAGCATTGACTTTTCACAGACTGCAGCTGCTGCTCCACCATTTGGACAAAATCAACAACTCAGTAACAATCCAAATACAGTTCTTATTAACTCTTCTTCGAATTCCTTAATGTCAGCCAGTGTGAAACCATCTTCTCAACCTATTGGAGCTATCGGAACTAAAGCTCCTCATTTTCAAGCACCATCTGCTCCTCAACCAAATCCAGTATGTATTAGTTCAATTTAATAATATATAGTTAATACATGTTTCATTTTTTGCACGAAATTATTTATCAGATTATTTGCAAGATACGTATGTCTCTCTTTTTTTCCTCCCCCATTTTTTTTTCTTTTTTTTTTTTTTTTTTTTTTTTTTTTT